TGGTGATGGGTCACTTAATTTGGAGAGGCTTTTTGGTGTGTTTTTTTTTGCTGTGTTCCTTGAGACACACACAACAAAGAAAGAAAAAAAAAGTGATCTCTGAAATACCCCCATACTGAAAAAATTCCAAAACAAAACGCAAACCGGTTTTCGCTGAGTTTATTCCATCTCTTGGTGACCCCATGTGTTGAGAGGAGAATTGCATTCCATAGGATGGTCAGTGCTGTGACCTTCAGGGAGAAGATTGCCAAGCCTTTGTTCTGAAGGGTCTTTGGGTAGGTTTGAACCTCCAACCTTTTGGTTAATAGTCAAGCACTTTTGGGGACTTATACGGAGTCCTGGTGTGGAGCTGTGGATTAATGCCCAAGACTGCAAAGCCATTTGAACTGCAGGATTGGCAGTTCAAGATCACTAGTTGCTCTTTGGAAAACCTATACAGGGTCACTACGGGTCAGAACCGACTCGATAGTACTTAACAACAACAACATACTAACAGGGACTGCTCCTTGGAACTACCAAACCAAACCCAGACCATTGTCTTCAAGTCGATTTCAACTAGACCAACCCTCCATCGGGTTTCTGAGACTAAATATTTCCAGGAGTAGACAGTCTCACCTTTCTCCTGTAGATGATGGGTTTGAACCTCCAACCTTGTGATTAGCAGTCCAGTGACCCTGCTAATTTCCAGTTTATTTTTTTGATTGTGATGTGATTTGTATACTATAAAATCCACCCTTTTGATTTGTCTTTATTATATTCACAAAGTTGTGTCAATTCCAGAACATTTTGAACACCCTCAAAAGAAACCCCATTCTCATTAACAGTGGTCTCTCTAAACCTTGTTGTTTTTAAGTGACGTCAAGTCAATTCTGACCAGTAATGATGCTGTATAGGGTTTCCAAGGAGCGACAGGTGAGCTTGAACCACTGACATTGCAGTTCAAACAACTTTACGCATTAGCCCACAGCGCCACACCAGGACTCCTCCCTAAGTCTTAGGCAACCACTCATCTACTTCTAAGAGGGTGTTTTTTGAACACGACACAGAAATATGTTGTTTGTATAACAGGGTTATATGAAGGTGTTGGGGGTGGATGGGTAACTCTTAGGGTCCAGGCTCTTATTTTAAACTTTTCATGTCTAGACTTGTGTGTAACAGGGAAGGGAAGGTACTGAGTCCTCTGTTTTGTTCCGTTTCGCTGTTTATGATTAAATTACCCAGTCACCTAAAATACTGAATTTGTTACATGTACAAGAAGCTGAGTCAGATGGATAATAAACCACACTTCTTTTTTTGCATAGCAAATGCACTTTTGAATTTTAAATCCAGAATTTTCAGAAAAAGCAGCTCAGTTCCTCTTCACCTTTCTTTTCTGCAACTTTAAAATAATCAACATTCAAATCATATAGGACTTTATCAGTCAAAACCAGAAAAACAGGTAGCTTGAACAGATTGCAGGCTTGGATATATGCGTGAAATATGCCCTAAATAAATGCCTTGGATTCCTGCCCATTGCAATAGTGTGAGATATCTGGAGAACTTGAAGTATGCAAGTTTCGAAGACTTGTCAGGGATTCTTTTAAAGGCAGGAAAGAAGTACCCATCTTCAGCAGTTTACATTAACCAGAGTGCAAACAGGAAGATATTGAGACGTGCTAATGAATATATGGGAGATGTAGAGACTGCTGACTTGGTGCCATTGGTTGCAATGAAAATTGACTTGAAAGGTTGGTGGTTCAAACCTACCCTTGAGAAGAAAAGCCTGGCCATCAGTTTTCTGAAGATCAGAGTCTTGACGATCCCATAGAGTAGTCTTCTCATGGGGTCATCATGAGACAGAATCGACTCAATGGCCATCGGTTTGGTCTTTGTTGCTCAGACTTTCCAGTGTATCCCACGATGGTCTCTGATAGAACAGCTTGAGGGCTAAGCCTTGTTGTGCTTAAGGCCACCACTTTGCTTGAAGCATGGTTTCCCACTCTAAGCTATATGTCTGGGTCTTTTTTGGTTGGTGGAGTTGGTGTACTTCCTCTGAGGCCACTGTAATTGAGAGCAGGAATTGTGGAAACTCTGGGCATTAGGGTGTAGGTGTTGCAGTTGCTGGTGAATACGTTCGGAAATCTAAACCGTCAGAGCTGGGAGTAGTTGCTGGATCTTTTTTACAATAAAAGGTGATAATTATTTAATGCTGGTGGCCTTTTCTCTCCTGCTTTCTGGCCTTCTTGGAGTTTTATAAATGGCAGATGTTGGAGACTTGGGATTCATGTAGATGTTGCACAATTGGCAGAGAACAGTGGGATACTTTCCTTGGGATTCATGAAGCAAAATGTTGCATTGAAAAAGTGCTTTGAATTGAGATGTGCCCGTTTGCAATAAGAAAGGTCTTTCTGGAAAGGTGAATTTCTTTCAAGGATTGTTTTTTGTTGTTGTTGTTTATAACTTGACATTTTATTAAATTTGCATAAGCAACATCTATCTTGAACAGTTGATTCTATGAATATGAAATCGGAACAATTTGAAATGGGACAAACTGATGAGAATCCCAGTCTCTCTCTTGCTCTGGTGGTAGCAGATGGGGATGGGCTGGCTGGCTTCAAGGCCACTGACCACACTCTGGGATGACCCGCGGCTGGGTATGAGAACAGCATCAGGCAGCAGGGATAGGCTGGCCCGTCTATGTGACAGGCGGCATCACAGACTGTCCAGTCCATCACCACGATCGGTTCCAATTCAGTCCATTTCCAGCTGAAGTCCAGTCTGGGGATTCAAGGTGTCACAAGGCTCAGAGCTGGCCTCGGGGGCAGTAGGTTCCCATAACTCATTGTTCTCCTCTGCAGAGGCAGCACCCAGCCCTTTGTGAACAGCTGTATTCTCTCCTGCACTGGGGCCCTGCTCCTCAATGCCCGTGTCCACCACAGCCCAGGTTTCCTCGCCCATTTTCTTAGCAAACCACTGTTTGACCTGCTGGGAGTTCATCTGGGTCTTGTCACAGAGGCTCTGCAGGTCCTCCTCATACAATATCTTGTGTGACGTGTAATAGTCTTGCAGCAGCTCCCAGTTGCCAGGGGCAATGACCAGCAATCCCCGCTTGTAGTCTTTGAGCCACTTGAGCTGGCTGTTCTTCAGGGCATATCTGCTGTCCCCGAACCAGCGCATGACCTCTGAGCATGGCAGACCCGTCTGGGCCATGGTGGAATCATAGTTCTGGTTGCTGGGCCACTGGGTCTGGACAAATAGCTGCCGCAGCACATGCCACTCCTGGGCCATCTTCTTTGTAGCTCACCTTGCCTGAGGACTGCTCCACCAGCTTGCATGACACATCATCCTCGGGCTCACAGAGGCCCAGCCCTGGGAGCTCGCTCTTGCCTTTGGCCTCTGTGATCCCCAGGTTCTTGAGGTTGATTTTGATGAGGTTGGCTTTGTTATCTGTCAGGGATTGGCTGCTCGAGCCTTCCAGGGAGCCGTTTTCACTGGTGACGCTCAGGTCACTGGCTAGGTGGTCCTCGCCACCCTGGTCCTCGGCTGCTGCCTCTGCCAACCGAGGGGCATTCTCGTCTTGTAGACATTTTACCAGTGTTCGCTTTTTTCCATCTCTCTGAAAACCAGCTGTCGGTTTCTCTTCTGGTCATTTTGGTTTGTTTATTCAAACATTTTATCTCCAGAAGAGTATTTCATCTTTATTGAAACATGTCAGATCCTGTTTTTTCTTATATTTAAAAATTTTGGTATTGCATGTGCTTGCCATTCTCCTCAAAAATTTCTCAGAAAGGAATTTCATAAAATAAAAGATAAAGCACCTCTCGTTCATGCTTGTTCCCCTTTACCCACTAGACGCCCACTCCATTGAAATCACTACTTTTTAACCATTTTGATATATTTCTTTCCCATCACTATCCTAGTCTATTACTATGAATATGTAAATGTGTCCCTGTATGCCTTTTATAAAGGCATACCCAAACCATTTCAGTAACATCCTGCAGAGGTGACAGACAGGTTTATACTCTTTTTTTTTCTTAAATGTTGTGAATTATGTGATAGTTTACATGGGAGAACATTAGTTTTACATTCATTCTATCGTATATCGTCTCATTGCCATGGTTACAATCCCCTCCATGCAATCCTTCCCCTGTGTCCCCCAGGTTTTCACAGGTTTATACTTTTAAGTGAATTGACCTCTGCACCCATTGCCTAAACTATTTCAGTTAGCACAAAGAAGAATCCCTGACAACTATAAAACCGAGACACCGTGACAAGGCAGAGATTTGTCACAAATAAATGCTCAAACCACAGGATTGGACCTGCATTCTGGATGTTGGCTTTGGACTTGTGATTGCTATTTAAAAACTGACTAAACGAACTTTGCTAATTTCTGTGAACTGTGGACTTTTAGAATATGGCTTTGGTGGTTCATTGGAGGAATTTGTACTTTTTACGCAGGAGTCCTGGGTTCCGTTTCCAGCCATCTACCTCATGCTTAGTCCCCTACTTGTCTGACAGTGGAGACTTGTATTTTGCTATGATGCTAAACAGAGTTTAGTGACGTTTCCAGACTAGAAAGAAAGACCTGCTGGTCTACTTCTGAAAACCAGCCAGTGAATCCCATGCTATGGATCCCAGTGGTCTCATGGTCCACAGATAATCATGTTTATCTGTGGACTATGAGTATGAGCAGTTTCATCTGTTGTGCTTGGGGTCTCCCTGAATCAGCTGGTGACTTGCTGGTAGCTAGCAGCAATGTCACTTTAAGAAGACGGTAATACATAGTACAGAGGGAGGCCCTTTGGGATAATGCTAACATTGGTTTCCTTAAGTACTGCTTGATTACCTCTAGTTTGTGCTTCTTGGGGATGTATTGTTTCAGAGTTGCGAATAGAGCTCTAATTAAAATGGGTGCCCTCTTCAGAAATTTAAAACAAAGCAAAACTGTATTTCAATGAGCAAATTTCCTGTTTCCTTACCATATGTTTTTGTTTTCTTTTCTGATTTTTTTCTTCAAACAGCAAGCCAGGGCTGAGCAAGAAGAAGAATTCATCAGTAACACTTTATTCAAGAAAATTCAGGCTTTGCAGAAGGAGAAAGAAACCCTGGCGGTAAATTATGAGAAGGAAGAAGAGTTCCTCACTAATGAGCTCTCCAGAAAATTGATGCAGGTAAATTATCTTTTCCACCCTCTTGTCTGCCCTCTCTAGGAAAAAAGAAAGCAAAGACTTTGACAGAGCACTTTGCTTGAAACATTCACTGATGAGGTTGTAGCTAGTGTTCTTTGGAGGTTAAAAATACCCAGGTAAAGATGGCAGCAATTTATTACTCAAGGTTGTGGTCTTGCAGCTCTGCCTCTTTGGTAAGGTAAGACCTGTTATACCTGGGGTACCACAAAAAATTGCCGACAAGTGTGAGGCCTTATCATAGGAGAAATCAATGTTGTATGTAGTATTCTGGAAGTATGGGAATGAACACCAAATGTGAGACTTCTTTATCCTTTTCTGTGGTGTCTCTACAGGAGTCCTGGTATGGCACTGTAGGATCAGCACTGGACTGTTATCTGCAAGGTTGGCAGTTCAAACCCACCAGCCACTCCTTAGAAACCTTATACAGGGTCACTGTGAGTTAGAACCCTGGTAGTGATATGGGTTCCATGTTGGGCTGCTAAACCACAAGGTCAGCAGTTTGAATCCACCAGCTGCTCCACAGGAGAAAGATGAAGCTTTCTGCTTCTGTAAACATTAACAGCCTCAGAAACTGTATACAGGGTCACTATGAGTCAGAACCTACTCGACAATGTACAACCACCATCAGAAATCTTTTTTGGTAGCCAGAATTGGGTCTTTTTATTAAAATAAGAATATATGAAGTGAAACATCGCTTTCAGGAAGGAAAAAAAAGTATCCATGATTGTTAAAGTTACATACAACCAACCGGTCAGTGTCAGATGATGAGTAATATATCACTGAAAAGATGTTGTTGTCGGTAAGTGCAATTGAGCCGGTTCCAACTTGTAGTGACCTTGTACAGGGTTTTCAAGGAGCATCTGGTGCGCTTTACCCCACAGGGCTATACCAGAACAGCTATTAGAGTAATATTAAAACGGATTTTTAATGGTTAAAATAGTATATGGAAAACATCACTCAAAACCTACAGGATGATTTGATATCTGTCATTACAGTGGTTCATTTTCCCTCCTTTCCTGTTTCATCCTTACTATTGTTGTTGTTAAACGCCATGGAGTCAGTTCCGACTCAAATTAAGCCTGTATGAGGTTTCCGAGACTTTAAATCTTGGCGGGAGCAGAAAGCCTCATCTTTCTCTCTCGGAGCAATTGGCGTGCTCAAACCATGTGGTTTACAGTCCAGTACATACTGTACTTTGCTAGTCCAAAGCTTACTTGTTGTTAAGTGCCATCAAGTTGGTTTCGACTCATAGTGACCCTATATAGGGTTTCTGAAGAGTAGCTGGTGAGTTTGAACTGCCATCCTTGCGGTTGAGACCAATCTTGCAGTCTAGTGTATTAACCTGCAGTGCCATATCAGGACTCCTAAAGCTTACTAGTAAAGTATAAAAATAAAACATGTTCAAGGGAAGTGTTTTGTGGGTTACTTAATATGAATTTAAGAATAAATGGGATATTAAATTGTTGCTCATTATTTAATATAAATTGTCCAAAATAATGAGCTGGTATAAAATTACCTAGCACCACTAAAACTTACAATGCATTAATTTGGTTGAAATATATATTTTAGTCAAGTCATAAAAGTATCTTTAAGTCTTTTTTAAAGCTTCCTAAATTCATATCTTACCCTTCAACATCCTGTACCGTAACTAGGGCTCTGGGCAGGTTCATTCTGGTCCTAGTCCCTGCTGAGAATTTGACTTTTCTTAGCAGTGGGTAGAACTGGAATGAACTAGTTGAAGCCCTCACTATGACAGAAGACTCACATCTTTCATACCAGGGACTTTGTACCCTTGTCTTCCTTTATATTCTCATTTGTTTGTAGACAAAGCTACTGTTATTGTCCTGTCCCAATTTTTTATTTATATAGTTGTTTTGTAATATAAAGAATAGAGGTGCCTGGGCATTATTGTCTGTCTGATTAATGGCAAATTTCTGCACTGAAATCTTTTGTTTATTCATGTTCGTTCTGATGAAGAGAAAAAAGGTTAATCTGACCTTTGACAATTTCTTACTTTAAAAAATGAAGAAGGAGAAGGTTAATTTGATCTTTGTTTCTTACATTAGCAGCATTTGATGATTTATTCTGCATGTTGCTTCTAGAAGTAAAGGTATGCAAGTATGATTTGGTTTTCTAGTTTTAGTATGTAATTGGGTACCTTTGTATATACCTAACACATAGACAGAAGATTGTATGTTCATCATTAGAAAGTATTAATCTGAAGTATATATATATATAGAGAGAGAGATATATTCTTCTGAGCCCAGACAAGAGGATTAACTATGGACTGGGAAGATATTGTCTTAAAAAGAACCATCTGGTACTTTACGTAAATTCTGCACAAGTCTACATTAGCACTAAATTCAGCTGGAGAGAGATTGTAGTTAACTGGTTATTTATGATTTTGAGATGCACAAAAGATGTTTTGTATGTAAAAATCTAAATCAGAATTTAGTATATAGCCTTTACATTAGAGAAGGGTTAACAGCAATGTTGCTTGAGTGGTGATTTTATAGGTCATCTTGATTCTTCTTGTGCCCTTCCAATTTTCTAAAGCAGCAGAAATTGCTTTTATAGCTAGAAAATATCTTCTTAAAACCTGATGCTTGTTTTCCCCTTCCTTTTTTTTCCCTGGTCCCCTGCCTCAGGTTTATTTGTCAAATAGCACAGAAGGACACCAGCTCCAAGCAGATGGTAGTCCACAGGGTCATGTCAGACCCTCTGTCCTCAGATGGAGAAGTCTATTCCATCTTTGTGGGGGTACGGGCACCTTTGGGAGCCTGAGTTGAGGCCTTGGCTGGGGCTGGAGATAAAGCCTTGGCTAGAGCTTGAGTTGAGGCTGAGGCCTTAGTTGATGCTTCAGCCTTAGTTTGAGCATTGGCCTTGAACTGTAGCCAACAAAACCTCAGACCCTTGGCAGTGCGTGCCCAAGCCTGCTTCCCCTGCTTGGGATGGGCAGTGTAGGCCAGTCACCTGAGCTTGCTGTTGACACCCCTTGGGATTTTAGGCTTGACCTCCTTGGGCTTTACGAGAACCTTGGCATGTGCATCCATGGCCTTGCCATTGTTGGCCTGTATTTTCTTCAGGCCCTTCACGTTGTACTTCTTGGCAAAGTGCATGTTCCTCAGAAACTTGGGGTCCATCCCCTTGAGAGACTCATATCATTGTGATTGGGGTTTCTTGATGCCATTTCTGTGCCGTTTCCGGGACTGGTTGTACGTAGTGTGGTTGTTGGGCTTGGCCGTGTCTGCACCGACACCCACAGCTCCCGGTGCACCAGGGACTGGAAGAGAGAGAGCTTTACCTTTCCTTTTGAAACTTTGTTCTGCACCACCTACTCGGAGGACTCGGAGTCCTGTTACCTTTGTTGTGTCTGTTTGCATGGAGAACAATGCACTGAAAAGATCCATAATGTCAGGCTGAAATGTAAAAATATTTCTAGTTTCTCTGGTAAGTGTTGACGACCTGATACTCATGATAAGTGGAACACCAACCACTGGTGAGATTAATCTGGTGTTAGCAACTGTAAATTGTCCTACTTCCCTGTTCTTTGAGGAGCCTTGTCAACTTAGTCTCTTGTTGCCAACTTTTCTTCTCAACCAATACCACTGCCACAAGTTAATGAGTACTCTCCTACACAGAACTGGGATGAGAAACTTATGGGTAGTACATCTCGGAATATTTTCAATCAAATTTAAATTTCAGACTTTAATATAACCAGTGTTGTTGTTCTTGTTATCCTATGCCTGGCCCTGGATAGGGTTTCCGAGGAGCAGCTGGTGGGTTTGAACCATCAACCTTGTGATTAGCAATCTAGTGCTTTTCCTACAGCGCCATACTAGGACATCAATATAACAAATTGTTGTTAAGTGCTGTCCAGTCAGTTCAGACTCATAGCCACTCTGTACAGGGTTTTTAAGGAGTGGCTGATGAGCTTGAACCACTGACTTTGAAGTTCAAACCGACCTTGCAGTCCAGCTCATTATCCCACAGCACCACACCAGGACTCCACATTGGAGCTGGTCCTCAGAAAATAGTCCCACCATAGATATTTGTTGTTGTTAGGTGCCATAAGTTGGTTCTAACTCCTAGCAATCCTGTATAGAGTTTCCAAGGCTTTAAATCTTTATGGGAGCAGAAACCCTCCATAGATACTAGGAATAATTATATATATTCTTATAAGGGGGGGGGCACATTCCTGCTGTAATTGAAAATATGTAAAAATAAAAGGTTTTGGATCTTTTTCCAAGTGACATGGCTTATTTATTCTTTATTATTGACTCTATTCCTGAGGAGAATGTCTCCTGAAATTTAAGCTTTTGAAAGTATCCTGGCATCTATGGGACAATGCTATAGAGAGAAGAAAGGAAGGCAGTTGGGGGCAAAACCCACTCCTTGAAGCTGCCACTATCAGGTGATTTATAGCTGAGTGGACCAGAAGGATACCATGCAACAGCATTATTCTTCCATCTCTGTTTGCACAGACCTAAAACTACAAGGAGAGTCCCCAGATCTGCTTGTTTACTCATCTGGACAAAAGACGATGACCTCATTCACCCACTTTCTCTTTCCCCCGCAGCCTTGGAGAAGTGGTTTCCCCTTCCACTGCCATCTTAATGGCTTCCATTTTTGCTGGTGCTTATGAGTTCTGGTGTGGTGCTGAGGGTTATTGCACTGAACTACAAGGTCGGTGGTGCAAGCTTACCAGCTGCTCCTTGGAAACCCTATACAGGGTTGCTATGAATTGGAATCGACTTGATGGCTCTTGACAACAATAACAAAATGGTTCTCTAGCCTCAGAAGAGAAATATCTCTGGGTAGCATGGCTTGTGTGTAGACTTAAGAAGTGAGCTTGGACTCCTGCTTCCCTTTTTCTTCAGCTTGTAGACCAGAGCCAAAGGCTTCCTGTTTTGCTCAAGTTGCCCAAGTCACCAAGATGCCAGTGAAGTCATTTTGTTTATCCAGGAAAATCACATGTCAGG